TGTCGCTATGCACGAGCTCCAAAGGTCGAGTCGTGCGCTTATCACCACCTGTGGGAAATGGGGCCGTGCTCATCTTCCCTCGTAAACATGAGTCACATGGGGGTTTGAGAGGATTTGTCTTGTCAGATATGGAGAGTCCTTTAACATATCCGAAATGTGGCATCCATGGATGTGTATGACGGGTGAACCAAGCGCTTGTGGGCCATGCGATACGTGATGGATGCATGAGCAGAATGTGCATTCAGCCCTCCATTACCATGGTCATTTGATGCAACATCATTATTGTCATGGTCGGATTCATGGGCAGATGCCAGTGCAAGTTCATATTGCACCATGAGCACCCCATGCCTGGTCATTCCAAGTCCAATCTTTACATGCTCATCCCCAACTGCCATGGTAATTACCGTGTGCCCGTCAGCATGTGTATAAATCCGTGCTCCCTTCTTGTGCAACTGACAATAGGAGAGAAGGTTGGATTTCAAACCGGGGACATAGAGCACGTCGGTGTATCGGACCGTTGTTCCATCGGGCGCCATTGCTCTAATCGTCCCCACCATCGAGCTCAGCAGCTGGCTGCCGTCAGCCAGCTCCACGCGTACAGGTGCGTCCAGCTTCTCTAGACCCTCAAACCAGCGTTTTTCTGAAGTCATGTGCTGACTGCATCCGCTGTCTAGCAACCACATCGATCCTCCGGCTGACGGTAGAGTTGCTTGCGACGACCGAATCGTTGCAATGCATGTAACGGTACGTTTGTTGTCTCCCCCGGCTCCTTGCTGTTTTGACGCTTGGTTGTCACGTTTGGGGCTTTCACTCCTTCGAGGCGAGGATGAACGGCTACTCCAGGTGCGCTGGTATGTCTCTCTGTTTTGTGGTTCCCACCCTGGTGGTGACCAGCCCGGAGGCGACTTGGGACACTTGTAGAACGGGTGGCCAGATTCCTTGCAGTACCAACACACCAGGTTTTAGCGTCCTCTCTTTCCTTCATTGTCTTTGTATTTCTCCACAAGTGTCGCGTGCTGCCCTCCCATTGACTTTGCCGCGTTCTGGTTCCCCTTTGTCTCAATCCTCTCCTTTGTTGGTGAATGATCTCCACGTGCTTGGCCAGCCATGCGAGGGGGACGTTTGTCACGGTTGGTCTTGCTAATGAGGTCTTGGTAGCGATGTTCCAGAATCATCATTCGTTGTAGTGTGTAGCTGTCCGAGATGTCATGTAGCATTGCAGAGTGTCTCAGCTCCTCCCAATGTGGCGGCAGTCCAGTAATCAGATTCAATGTAAATGAATCCTCATCCACCATCTTCCCTGCCAATGCCAGCTTGTCACGAATTGTCGTTGCTCGATTGAAATATTCCTCTACTCTCTCTTGACTCCCCATTTTTAGGTTGTCCAATTGTTTTTGTAGAGACGCCTTTGCCACCGAGTCCTTCGCCTGGTATGTCTCCATCAGGTATTCCCATGCCTCAAACGCTGAGCTGTATGATTCTTGAAACACGTCTAGTTGAAGCTGAATCGTTGCGCTCACGCTATGTAGTAGAACCCAAAACGCCAGCGTTGCACGTTGTGAGTAGTCCGCTTGCAGATTTTCCAGCCGCTCCATTGCGTCTCTCATGTTTCCTTCGGCCATAGTAACCGGGTATTGAAGCGTCACGAAGAATTCCCATAGGTTTGTCACACGCGCGTTCATGCGAAACCGAAGCGCCCACTCGCGGAAGTTGGTGCCGTCGAATGGAGTAGTAGTGAACGCCTTGTCCACCGCTGCCCCCACCATCTTGCGTGACAGTCTGTCCTTGTCTTCCTCCGTGTACTCATGTGGAGACGGGTCGAAGAGAGTAGGTATGGTGGATGGGCGTGGCAGTCGAACCGAGCGTTGCGTTCCACCGTCTTGACCATAGGTGCGTTGCTCCACCACCTCAATGCGATCACGTCGCGTAACACCACTTGACTGCATCTCGTGCCCCGTGCGTCCCATGCTTCCTGCAGGTGCAGCTCCCATTTGACCTCGCGACGCACGAGGAGGTACGATGTTTTCTCCAAAAAAGTGAGATCTGCCCATGACGGGAGCTCCAAGGGGGTGAGAGTTAGTGGCAAGACGTCGTAGTGGGGGAGCACCAATAGTATAGGATTCGAATCCCACACCTTCCACGCCCACTTGATCAACTCTGCCACTCCCTTCACCAATCTGCCTCCTCATGCTCCTTTCCATGCCAAATCCATCACCACGTTCCCTTGCACCCACTCCACTTCCGTACTCATCATCCCTCTCGCTTGCTTCCCTTTGCACGGTTGATGGAGGTGCGATGTGAGAACTCCCCTCTCCTTGGAACGATGCGTCCCTCCTTTGGAACGATTCTCCTCCTCGGGGTATGTATCCCTCCTCTTCACCTCCAACTCCAGCTTGCACATTTGAAGCGTAGGTTTGTTCGGTACGTGGAGTTCTTGCATGTGACTGTCCACGGGTGGATGGGTCTTGTGCTTGACTTGGCATGTTGAACTTGACTCTTAATGACACTTGAAGTGTTGGTGGTGCCCTTGCGATCATGTTCTCCAGGTGCTCATGTTGAGCCATAATGGCCTCTTCAAACGCCGCGTATCCTGCGTCAACTTCCTCATCAAACCGAGCCATGCCGTTGATCCAGAACGTTGCTCGTGCATATGCTAATTTGCTGATATTATTGTCAAACGTTGTTGATAATAAGTTCCTTACCGAATTTCGGCAGCATGCCCCCTAGAGTTGCTCTGATACCATGCTAGAAAGGCATAGTGCCGTCGTAGCGGAAGCTTTGATTGTAGAATAAACACCAAGAGAAACTTGCAACAGAAAGGATTCAGAACAATGGGATTCGATTGATAATGAAGGCTCACAGCAAGGTATTTATCCATGCAGCTACCCTGCCAAAGTCTAGCCATCCCCACCAATAATTGTACCTCCAATAATTCTACCTCAATAGCCCTGGACTCCAATAATGCAGTCCCTACAATAATTGTACAATTATTGTAGGACTGAGCCTTATAAAGGAGACTACAGTAAAATCTAATAGCATATACATTTCCTTATGTTTCTATTTCCAACAGGCCCCTCATGTACAATCACATCAGTAGATCGTAGCCGTCGATCCAACTGCTTATCACGCTGTCAACCATGGAAAAATATGCCGTTCGTAACCATCATGGGACTCGAAAACATTTTTGGTAAAAAAATAAAGGGTACGGTCACTGCAAAGGTTGTTTTCACGCGACTGATAAAGCGTTTCACGGAATCAGTCACAATCAGCTGGTAAAAATTAACGCGAATGGTCACAGATGAAACTCCCGCCAAAACAAAATGAAACCCAGAAAGAACCTGGATGCATTTTCGGATGATCAACCCTAAACACGTAACTCGCCAGGTGTTTAGGGTTGATCCGTTCCCAAACCGCATCCGATTCCGATTGGGTTTTATTTTTTTTACAAGTTCGCAGATTGGTTGGGCGCGAGCGGGAATTTTGTTGAGTTTCAAGTTTTTTTGGCGGGAGTTACATGTGTGACCATTCGCGTGATTTTTTACCTGTTGTTAGTGACTGAATCCGTGACCCCGCTTACCAAACCCGTCAGAAAACCCGATACACTGACCGTACGCGTTTTTTTTTTTACCATTCACGTTATCGAGTTCCAAGTTGGTTACTTGTGGCATATTTCCCCGTCAACCATCCCTTCGTCAGACACCTTGAAAACGGTACATGGTAATTCGTCAACCCCTCCACTTGCGCGTGGTGAAGTTGGGCGAGGTAGGCGGAATGCATGTGCTCAGTCCCCGCCCTTTGATAAGGCGAAGGTGGGGTTCCTATCGACTGCATTGAAATTCCGCGAAATGCAAGCAATTTTGCGCGACTCCTTTTCCCCGCTCGGCGAAATCACAGCGCTTCGCAGGCATCAGGATCAATCGCGACAGGCGATATATCGTCCACTTTCAGTGCGTCCAGAGGATATTTCACGCCCCTGGCCGAAGGCAAAAGTGTCGGTGCTGGGATTCGAGCCCAGGTCTCCACGGCCACAACGTGGGATTCTAACCACTAAACTACACCGACTTGAGTCGAAGTTATCGTATATTGTTTTTATTATGTTTTTTTTAACACTTCATGGGATGCGATGATATGTGTGCTCGCCCGGCCAGCGTTGGCTACCCTCATTTCTGTTTTTTATTCGGACCTGTAAAAGTTCCCAGGAAGAAATTCGTGCGGAACCTCCAATGGGCACTTCTTGAGGAAATCCGTTCCGTGGGCTCTGTTTTCTCTGGGACTGAATACCTGGCGTGAAAATCTGCCGCCATTCCAAAACCTGAAATACTTGGCGTGAACACTTCCTCTGGTAGGAAACCCAAAACAGAAATCCCCGCTTCCCCAGCAGTGTGTCCTGGATGTTGTTGACAAGCTATGAGTGCATGGATGGGATGCGAAATTTGAGGAGATTCTCTAGATTCTCTCATTGGAGGAGAGGCAAATTTCGCGCTTGCAGGGAGCAGCAAATGGCTGCTCGTTACTATGTGCACCAATTTTCCAGTATTCAGTTGTTCGATTAGTAATGGCGTTGATTAGGAAACACTAACCAGACAGGCTATTGAGTAGCTGCGAGTCGTGCCGCGATTCGCTGTTGCCGCACTGACGGTTCCAGATTAGTAATTGATGGTAGGCCTCTCTGCGACTTCTGATAATGTACGACGTTCGCGCGGCTGACGCTAACAATGCCGGCATCGCGCATTCGCGCGACCTATTAAGGAGCTTCCGTCTGTCAAAGACGGAGTCGCGCATTCGTCTACTCGCCATACTAGTACCCACCTCGACGATAGCAGTGCTAATTTATTAACGGCGGGTGTAAGCTTCCTGTACGGCCTTAATGCCTTCTCCTATCTGCCTAACAGCCCGTATAAGTCGGTAACTTAGCCTGATCCTTTCCGTGCCACGTGGCACCCTCTGCCTGTACCCCGAGGATAATCCAATCCCGTGCCACGTGGCGTCCCATCACCAAGATGCCACCAATGGGGTGCGTCAGCAGCAGGGGGATGGAAGGCCCGGACCTCGATAGTTCCGAATACGACAGCAGCACCATCTCCCGAACCACGTCGCAGTCCTCCCGAGCCACCGCGCAGTCGCCGAGCCTCCAGGCTCGGCGGTCGGGAACAGCTCTGTCCAGAGGAGGAGCGATGGGACAGATGACAGGATCGCCGCCAGTTAAGGTTCGTGGGGGGGGTTTATCAGCAATTTGCGAGTCTTCTTGATTTCTGAGAAGTCTGAATACTTGATTTTCCGTGTTTTGTTGATAAGTGGCATGCTTTGGATCGCGTTTCGCCACTTGTGGTACTATATATCCCTGCTTTTGTTTCCATTCCGACCTTTCCGTTTGGTCTGCTGTGAAACCTTGATTGAAATTGCGACCTTTTTGTGTGGTAACCCTAATTCGCCAGGACCTGCTGGACGTGTTCATCGACGAGGTGGAGAGTTCGCACAAGCGAAAGTCCAAGGGCAAGACGCACAGACACAAGGGGTCAGCGGGAGAAGCTGGGGCGGCGGGGGAAATTGAGGCAGGGGGAGAGGCTGGGGCAGCGGGGGAGACTGGAGCAACGGCGGGGGTTGAAGCGGCCGGGGGGGTTGGGGCAGAAAGAACGTCTGAGGTCGCACGAGTAAGGGCAGCAGATATTGGGGCGGTGAGGGGTGAGGCGTTGAAGGGAGCAGCAACAGGAGCTTCGCAGGGCGAGGAAGAGGGGCGAGCAGCAGAAGGGCGGATGGGAGATGGGCAGGAGGACGGGATGGGGCCCAGAGAGAAGGGTGGCGATATGAAGAGCTTATTTGATGAGTGCTCAATTTTAGCACCATCTATAGCAGCAGCAACAGCAACAGTAACAGCAGCTCTGGACTCGTCTTCCTCAGCTGCAGAGACAGAAATACCAAATGAGCCAGCTTGCAAGCTGGCAAGACAAGCTGACACCACGTCAGGTCTTCACCCGGAGAGCTCAAGCACAAACGGTCCGCCCCCCCCTGTCCGCAGCGACCCTGCTACAGCCTGCTCATCGCGTTCACTGCATCTAGACTATCCCAAGGGCGGCTCGGGGAAGGCTGACAATCCTGAGGCTGGTTCAGGGGAGGCTGAACAGGATACAGGGGAATCAGCAAGCTTAGGTTCGGAATTTACGGACCAGGCAGGGAGCTTCGGTGGTGTGGTTCGGGCCAACCCTGGTGAGGCTGAAGCAGGAGCGGGTTTCAAGGGGGATGATGGGAGGACAGGTTCGGAGAGAGACGGACCTGTCGTCCGAACCTGGGAGTTAGACCCGGAGCGCCGAGCCAAGAGCTGGAGAAGAAACGTGGAAGCACAGTCCTTTAGGGGTGAAAAGAAGAGAAGGGGTTTGGACTCGCAGGTAACAACAGCTCCAGAAGCAGCAGGTGTGGGCGATGGGGGGAGCGAAGAGAGCGAGAATGCAGGGGATGAAGCTGTAAGCAGGGGATCAACGGTTGTGATTGACTCTGGTGCAGAGGCAGCTAATGAGGAGCGTCAGATGGAGCGGAGTGTACGTGCTGCTGCTAATGCAGATGGAGGGGAGGGCGGAGGAGAGGGTAGAAGGGAGGGCGGAGGCATTTGCGTGCATTCTGAGGTTCCTCTGAATGCTTCTGATGGGGGTGAGGGTGGTGGCGGCACTTATCTGTTTGCAATGAAGCTGCGGCGAGTGAGGAGCTCGGGAGACATCACAATAGGGGATGTTTCTAAAGGGGATGGTGTTTCTCACAGGGGTGCTTCTACAGGGGATGCTACTAACCGGGTTGTTATCAACAGCGACGCTGCACCTGGGAGAGCTGCTGGGGCGAAGGGCAGACAAGGCGAGAAAGGGAGTCTGTTGGGTGTGATGGAGCATGGGAGCGATGGTGCTGTGGCGTGTAGCGATGGTGCTGTGATGCAGAGGGATGGAGCTGACCGTGCTGCTATGGTGCAGAGGAAGCGGGTGCTGGGAAGGGAGCAGCTAGCAGAGGAAGGGGATGAGGGTGAGGGGGCCCAGAGCGGCGCAGGGCAGAGGGGGGGGAGGGAGGGTGGTTGTGAGCCCAAGGAGAACGGTGGTGGTGGTGGGAATGGTGATGATGGGGATGTGATGCTTCCTGGAAGCTTCTTGTGCTTCGCCAGGAGAGCCAGAGAGGTGGAAGCGACCAGCAGTTACAATGTTCAGTCTGTCGCAAAATTCAGTGCAGGGTGGGGGGGGAATGCTTCCGAAGCTACCACTGCTGCTGCTGCTGCTGCTGCTGCTGCTGCTGCTGCAGGTGGTGGTGGTGCTGGTGCAAGGTCAACAGGAAAGCATTCCCGCAAGACGTTATCCTCTTCAAAGCCATCCTCGTTAAGAGCGCCTCCACTGAAAGCCGCTTCTCTTGAACCACGTTCTCCGAAATCATTTCTACCAACACCCTTCTCATTAGAAACCCATCCACCTAAGGCACACTCGTTACGAGCTCCCCCCACGCTCTCCCTCCCCCCTGCTTCCCCCACTTCCCCATCTCTCCCTCCCACATCCCCCTCAGGTCGATTCACCTCCCTCCCCCCAGCATCACCCAGATCCCCCTCTCTTCCCCCCACATCCCTCTCAGGTACCTCCGCCACCCTCCCCCCAGCCTCCCCCAGGTCCCCTTCCCTCCGCCCCTTATCCCCCTCAGGTCTCTCCGCCACCCTCCCCCCAACCTCCCCTCGATCCCCTTCCCTCCCCCGCCCACTAGCTTCCTCTCCCCAGGCCTCACCAGCTAAAAGGGGCGTGTCTGTTTTCCTGCCCTCAGCCCCAGTCCCAACCTCCCCCAAGCCTACCTACCCCAAGCCCGCCTCCCCCAAGCCTATCTCCCCCAAGCCCGCCTCCCCCAAGCCCACCTCCCCCAAGCCCGCCTCCCCCAAGCCTACCTCCCCCAAGCCCACCTCCCCCAAGCTCACGTTCCCCAAGCCTGCTCCCACTAGTGCCCCCTCAGCTCTTAAAGAACCTGAAAACTCACATGCTGCCCCTGTTGCCTCCTCTGCTGCTGCTGCCTCTGTTGCTACCTCCTCTGCTGCTGCTGCCACTCGTGCAGCCACTGGTGGTTCTCAGCAGCAAGAAGCAGACGAGGACGCTCTTCTCCTCTCTTTTGAAGCACCTCAAAACCCACCTGCTGCCCCTGCTGCCTCCTCTGCTGCTGCCTCTGCTGCAGCCACTGGTGATTCTCAGCAGCAAGGAGTAGACGAGGACGCCCTTCTCTTGTCTCGACTCGGATCCCCTCGCATCGTGCTTCCCAATCGCATACAGTCACACTCGTTTAAGTGCATAAGTAGCACCAACAAAGCCACCCAATTAATGGCACGATCGCGCAGCGATCCTGACGCTCCATCCGCATCTCTGCTCGATCCAACGGCTGACGTAGTCCCTCCTCCCCACTTCCCCACACTTCCCCATCTTTTCACCCCTCCTCGCCTCGCCACTCCCCCCCGCCCACGCTCTCGGGGGGGCTACAGTAAACTGCAGGTAGATCTGGCAATCGTCACCACTGTAGCGGATTTTATTGGATTTGATTTGTTTGGGGATGGGGAGGAGGGGGAAGGTGCGTCTGGGGCAGGTGGGATGAATCCGTGGGGCATGGTTGCTGCTGTGGGGGGGTCGCTTTGGCCTATTGATCCTTTGAGTCAAGAAACGGAAGGAGAAGGCAGAGAGGGCTTTGGAGGAAGAGGAGGCGGAGGAGAGAGAGGAGGAGGGGAAGGAGGGGAAGGAGACGTAAAGGGAGAGAGTGAGGGTGAAGGTGGGGATAGGTGTGTGAAGGCAGGTGGAGAGGGAGGGGGAAGCAGAGGGCAGGCTGAAGTGCTTACGGTGGTTCACTCTACGGAGAGTGACTATATGGAGGGGGAAGAGGCAGCACGAATTGGTAACGTACAATTGAATGCAGCAGAGGTGCTTGTGGTTGACTCAGCGGCGAGTGACTGTATGGAGGGGGAAGAGGCGGCACAGGAGGAGGTGCTAAATGGTGCAGCAGCTGTACAAGAGATGTGTGGGGAGGATGTGACTGCAGAGAATGTGAATGTAAAGAATGTAACTGATGAGGATGTGTCTGGTGACGATGTGATTAAAAAGGGGGTGGGCAACGAGAAGGTGCATATAAGGGAGGTGATTATAGCAGCCACGGAACTGTGGAGAGATGTGATAGAGCACAGGGAGGATGTGGGGCGGGCTGTTGAGAGGGCTCTGGTGGATAGGGTTACCACACGGCGTGAGGTGACTGTAACGGATGTGATTGTAGGCAAGGCTGGGATTTGGAGAGAGGAGGGAGCGGAGGGAGAGGAAGGGGACATGGCTGCTGATGTGGCTGCTGATGTGGACACGGACGATGAGGTGCTGAGCTTGCAGGAGGTGTGCAAGCAGGGGGGGGTGATTGTAACGAAGGCGAAGGTTCTTATGAGTCTCTTAGGAAGGCTTGAGTGTGAGGTTGCAGAATGTGATGTGGTGAGACTGTCAACGACAGATGTAACCCTGCCGGGGTCAGATGTAACCCAATCAGGGACAGGTGGAACTGTTTCAGAAACAGATGTAACCCTAGCAGTAGAGAATCTAATAATTCTGGCAGAGCAGCATCAGTTGCTGCTGAGTCAGCACACAGTGGGAGGACGAATAGGGGAGGAGGGTATGACTGTGGGCGATGTGGCAATAGGTGGTGTGACAGTAAGCGGTGTAACTGCATGCAATGTGACTGTAGGCGGTGTGACTGTAGGAGGTGTGATTGCAGAAGGACCAAGAGAAAGCGCAGGGCGGTTGGACGATCTGCTGCTTCTGGTGGTGGGCACTTTGAGAGTGATGGAGGCGAGGAGGAGGAGGAGAGGTGTAAAGAGAGTGGGGATTGTGAGGGAAGAGGGAAAAGAGGAGGCAAGAGTGAGTGTTGAAATTGAAGAGGACAAGGAAGAGGATGGGGAGGAGGAAGAAGATGAGGAGGAAGAAGATGAGGAGGAAGAGGATGAGGAGCTGGAAGGAGGGGGCGACGACCAGGGGGAGGAGGAGGAGGAAGAAGAGGGGGAGGAGGAGAGGCAGAGCCAAGCAAAGCTGTGGGATCGAAGTGGGAAGCTGCTAGAAGCAGCCTCAGAGCATGCAGCACTGCTGGTGGATCGCTGCCAGTCTCTTGCAAACCAGCAGGCAGAGAGTGCGGGGCTAGAGAGACAGGGAGGAGGCGGGGAGAAGGGGTTCCAAGGGACGGTTTCTCGGAGGGCGAATCGAGGGCAGCCGGGGGCGAATAGAGGACAGCAGCAGGGGATGACGTCGCTGTTCAGTCTGATAGAGAGCGCTGAGTTGCTTTGTGGGTGCGTCGTCCCCGCCGCTGCTCCTGCTGCTGCTCCTGACGCTGCTGCTCGTCACGCTTCTGCTGAAGCAGATTCAATGCGGGAAGCTGTTGAGCTGTCTGCTGCAGTGTTGCTGCCCGGGGCGGTGACGGCAGCAGCAGCATTTCGCGACCGAGCTGCAGCACATGGGGTGCGGCTATGTGCAGCAGGAACGGTGGCAGCAGTGGCAGGTAAGGGTGTGGCAGGCAAGGGTGTGGCAGGGGGAGCAGCAGGAGCTGTGGATGTTGCTCAGGATGGAGTGGCGCTGGTTGCAGCTGCTGCAGAAACAGTCCAAGGGCTGCTGAAGCCACGTCTGAGGCGGAAGGAGCGGCAGGAGGAAGAGCAGGAGCAGACGCAGGAGAAGCAGCAGGAGAAACAGCAGGGCGAGCAGGAGCATGAGCAGGAGCAGGGGCAGGAACAGGAGCAGGAGCAGAAGAAGCAGCAGCAGGAGATGCTGTTTCCTGCTCAGAGGCATTGGGTTTCCAACCTCCTGCTCTCGGGATGGCTGTTGCTGCAACGCCATACTGCCGCTGCTGTAGAGGCTGCAGCAATCGTGGAGAGTCTGGGCACTGACTGTATTGGAGGCTGCAGTAAAGAGATGGCAGCCTCTCTGCAGCCTCTGCAGCAGAGTGCGTCCGCTGTTATCTCTACCTTCCACTGCAGGCTTTCTTTCCTCCGCACCCTGGTGGAAGCCTACAGGAAGTTTCTGAATGCAGCTGCAGGGTATAGTGGAAGGCAGGGGGGAAAGGGGAGAGTAGGAGAGGAGGGTATGCGAGAGGAGGGGAGTGGGGGAGAGAAGGGGTCACGAGACGGATCGGGGATGAGGGCTGATTGGTTAGAGGGGAGTGTGAGGGTGAGGGAGTGTGAGGAGGTGTGTGAGAAGTTGATCAGAACAATCAACGCAATGCAGGGGTGGTTTGAGCCGGGTCAACAGAAGGAATGTTCCTCTGTGAGGGAGCGGGGAGAGAAGCAAGCTTGTGGGCAAATGCGTCAAAAACAGATGCTCGTTTCCCTGGGATTCTCAGGGCTCGTGGCAGTGGCAGGCATATTGAGAGAGATTGTGACTGCGAGGAGTTCTGAGGAGCGGAAAGATGAGGGTGATGGGGTTGGCAGATGGGAGGGGCGAGAGGATTCAGGGACGAAAGGAGAGCGAGCAGCGGGTAGGGCAAGGAGAGGAGGCAGGCGGAGTGGGTTGGGAGGAGATGGGGGAGGGGTGGCGGGTGAATCGGGCAAGAGGCGGATGGAGGGAAGGGTTGAAGGGAAAGGGATGAGGGGAAGGAGGGAAGGTTCGCATGGGGGTGTGAGTGTGGCAGGAGAGAATGGGGGAAGCGAAGAGAAGGATGGTTCAGGGAAAGGGGAGGAGGAGGCAGGGCGTGTGGTTTCTGAGGTTCTTGTGACAGAAACGAGTGTGCTTGTAAGAGGGGCAGAGAGTCTGCTGGATGAAGTGAGAGATGGGGTGGGTAGGTTGATAATAGGAGGAAGTGATTATAACAAAAGTTTTGAGAACTCTCAAAAGGGAGTCCGCCAATCCGGCCGAGATTTTGTTGCCGGGCAGGGTTCTGCCGCCCAGATTACCCTGAGCCTTGTGGCGGCTTCTGTCCGGCATTTTTGTCTTGTAGCAAGGGAGGGCGGTAGCAGGGAGGACGACAACAGTTTGAGCAGAGAGATGGGTGGTGTGCGGTGGGGAGGGAAGCTTCTGAGAAAGGCAGGGAGGAACTGTGCTGCTGTGGTTGGTGCAGCTGCTGTGCTTGCAGGTAAGGTGGTTGGGGAAGAGTGGGGTGAAGCCTCGGTGGGGGGAGAGGGAAAGGGAAGAGTGGGAGGAGGAGAGGGGAGAGTGAGAGGAGAGGGGAGAAGGGAGGGGGAGGAGGAGGAGGAGCGAGAGGATGGGGTGCGAGCAGCAGCAGCTGCTCTGGTGTTTGCAGCAGAGAGGCACTTGAGGCTGTTAAAGGCCCTTGAGAGGAATCGTGGGGAGCAGCAGCAGGAGAAGCAGGAACATTCGGGACCAGATGCGGTCTTGTCCACGGGCGAAAGCAGGGAAGAAGGCAGGGAACCGAGGACGGGAATCAGGGAAGCTGGTCTCTCAGGTGACATGGCAGGACAAGCAGACCGGAGACATGTGCAGGACAGGGTTGTGTGGGACAGCAGCAGGAGCAGTGGTGTGAGACGAGAGCAAGGGGCTACTGCAGCTGCTGCTGTTTCAGGCCAGGCACTGCACTTGGCTCGTGACATTGAGATGCTGGTGCTGCCTGGCTGCTTGCCTCCTGATGGCCACGTGGTCCTGCTCAGAGCAGGAGGGGCCGGTCAGGGAAGGGCAAGAAGGGGGCTGTTGCTTGGCAGAATAGTTTTCCGGGCAGCACAATTCGGGCAGATGTTGCTGTTGGATAGGCCAGTTGGGGTACCTGAATTTGCGGCCGTGAGTGAAGGTGAGGAAGAGAGGGTGTGTGAGAAAGAGAGTGAGTGTGAGGAGAGGGAGAGTGAGGGGTTGGGTTACAAGAGGAAGCAGGCTGTGAGGGATGGGACTGTGTTGCTGAGCCGCCAAGGGGTGGGCTCCGTTGTCGCTGCTAGCCTGCCTGCTGATGGCGCTGCTGCTGCTGCTGGTGCCGCTGCTGCTGTAAGGGACCTCGCTGTGTTGCAGAGCCGCCAAGGGGCAGGCTCCATTGTCGCTGCTAGCCTGCCTGCTACTGCTGGCGCTGCTGCTGCTGCTGGCATTACTGCTGAAGGTGGTTTCGCTGCGCGCTTCGCCGCTGGCTTTGCGTGGTTGGTGGAGTGGTCGAGAGGGATGGCGGAACTCGCAGCGGAGCTGGAGCAGCAGCAGGACCAGGCAGAGGGCGGAGAAGCAGAGGGTGTAGGGGAGGGAGGAGAGGGAGATGTGGTTGTGACGGGGTTGCTAACACAGGCAGCGGCAGCGAGGCAACTAGCGCGAGACTTTCTGATGCAGGCTGAACTGCAGACCCAAGAGTGGGCGGATGGGAGTGGGATTACCGCTGCTGATCCTGGTCTTGCTGAGGGGAGTATGGTTACCACTGGCCATGGTGGGGTTACCACTGGCCATGGTGGGGTTACCACTGACAGCGATCCTGCTTGCTCTGAGCCTGAGGATAGACCCAAGGGTGAGGTGGATAGTGCAGGGTGGCAGTTGGCCACTGGTGTGCTGAGTCAGCGCGCTGCTCTGGCTGACCTGGTGGCTGCGCATGCTGACTCGTGTGTCCGGTTTGCTGAGTCAGCAGCAGTTGGGTCGTCTGGTAATGCCTCGCACGACCTGCTATTGCAGGCAGAGGGGTTGGTGGTAGAAGCTTCCAGGCAGCTTCGAATGCTGTGGCAGGCAAAGAAGCAGAGACGCAGCAGCAGCAGCAGGAAGCACAAGGGATGGCAGGGCGAGTATTCAGCTGAAAGCAGCTGCGATCATGGTGATTCTGAGTCTGTAGATTATGGTGGTATCAGTGGTACGGATTGTTCAAGTCATGGTGCAGCAGAGTCAGGTGGTGATGACCTCCCATTGCTGGCAGCTCTCGTTGAACAGGCGCAGTCCCACCTCTCACTGCTGCTCCGAGCCACACAAGGCAGGAAGGCTGTATCTGGGGGAGGTGCATGTGACTGTGTACCAGAGTCACGGGCAGGGGAGCTGCCGTGCAGAGTGGAAAGGTCCTCTATCCGCCGCTCTGCTCTGCTTCTGTGCCACCGTGCCTCCTCTCTCCTCCACCGCCTCTCCATCCCATTCGCACCTCCTCCTCCTGCTCCTTCTGCGATCCCCAGGCTTTCCTTATCGTCACCATCGTCCAACAAACCTTCCTTCTCCTCCCCCACCACCAGCCACTTGGTCGTGTCAGCAGCAGGAACTGCAGCCAGGCTTGTGGCCTCCTCATCCCTCCTCGCAGCTCTCCTGGAATCGCTGCTGCTTGCTGCACCTGCTGATACCATATCTGCTCTTGATGCTGCTTCCTGTGCTGAAGCATCAGCAGCATCTGAACCATCCGCACCAGCAGTACCATCAGCGGCGGCAGCAGCAACACCAGCTTCTGCAGCTATACCTCCTGCTCTGCCTGCTGCTGTACTGACTCAGCACCGTGCTACTATTCGCTCACTCACCCTTTCCCTTGCTGACGTGGCAGCTGACCTGGATGTGCAGCTTGCGAGGCTGGCAGACGCATGCCTCCGACATTCTGCCTGCACTGATCCTGCCAGTGCTGACGTGGCACTTGCGTATTGGCTGCTGGATGCAGGGCAAGTTCTTATGAGCCACTCTCACTGGCTCGTGCAAGAAGCCGGTGAAGAGAGGCCAAGGATTTGGATCCTTACACGTGTTGCCAATGATACAGGTGTTACGGGTGTTACAGGTGTTACGGGTGTTACAGGTGTTACGGGTGTTACAGGTGTTACGGGTGCACCATCAGCAGCAGCAGCAGCACCGGCAGCAGCAGTGAGCAGTGTGGGCTGTGTCGCTGCGCTGGCTCTCAGGCTGCTGAGAGTTCTCTTGTCCTTCGGTAGGGGAACAAGGTTTCACAGACCCTCAACCACTGTTGCACTGCCCACCACATCCACAGACCACCCTGCCCCAGTCACACCCGCCCTGCTTCTACTGCCCCCCGCGCTGACCTCTCGCCTGCAGCAGCTAGAAGCGGCTATGGCCCTGCTAGTCCCTGCACAGGAGCTTGTGCGTATGAGCAGTTCTGAGCCCTCTCAAATCCTGCTGATCCCCACACAACAAGCACTCGGTGTGCAGAGCAGAGAGGGCAGTGACACCGCCGTCACAGCAGCAAGCAGTCTATGTGTGCTGTGGCTGCACCTGTGCTCCCAGGCCCTCCCTCTCCTGTCCGATATCCGCACTCGGCTGAGTCAGCTCTATGTGCTTCCCCATGCCCATGACAGGGGGCTTGCTCATGCCCACTCTGCCACTGAAGCAGCAGCCACGCCTATCCCTTTGCCGAGCCCCTTACAACCCCATCTGCCTTTAGCAGCAACAGCAGCTGTTCCTGTGGTGTCTGCGCTGCTGCTGAGATGCCTATTGAGGCTTGAAGATGCAGTGGCAGCGGTGTGGAGGGATACTGATGGGGGGAAGAAGGGGAAAGGGGGGAGCAGGGAGAAGAGGAGGGGCGGCAGGGGCGGCAGAGGGAACAAAGGAAGCGGCAAGGGTGGTGACGGGTTGGGATTGGAAGGGGAAGAGGAGCTTTCCTGTGGATGGGTGTATGTTTGTGATAGTGATGGTGTTGCTGCTGCTACTGGCAATGCTGGTTCCCTCTTCCCTCCTCCCCCTCTTGCATCTGCAGCAGAATCAGCAGCAGCAGAGGTCACACTCCTGTCCATGCTCAATCACCACATATCCTTCCCACCATCATCCCCTTTATCCGACCTTGATATACTTGGACAAGGTAGAGAACGGGAGGAAAGGGTGGAAGGAGGGGATAGTCAGGGAGGGAAGGGAGGAGGAGGGGAGCAGAGGGAACGAGGGGAAGAGGGAGAGCAAGGGAAGGGTCCTCTTCTGGATGAGAGGTCTCTGCCTGCTCTCTTTGGCGATCTCTGTGCTTCCATTTGTTCCAATGCTGCTGCTGCCGTTGCTGCTGCGTCGTCAGCCACTGCAACGAATTCTGCAGATGTGACTATAGCGAGTGGTGCAGCTTTGGGGAGTGCTCCTGCGGTTGGTAACCCTGTGGTTGCTGCTTCTACAGCTGGTGCTGTTGGTGGCACAGCTACTGGTGCCACAGGTCTTGCTACAGCCTCAAGCCTGGCCATGCTGCATGCCTCTGCACTCCTCTCTCTGCTACAGTCGCTGGTCTCGGATGCTGCTCACACAGGCGCAGGTACAGCCACTGCTGGTACAGGTGCTGCTACAGATGCTGCTACAGATGCTGCAATGGCGAATAATGCTGACGCAGCTACAGCTGGCAGTGCTGCAGGGGCGTCGGCTCAGCTTCTTCCTGCAGTGGCGATGGCGGGAGCAGCAGCATTGGTGGCTCACATTGTGGTGCATGCGCTCTCACTGGAGCTTGCCCTTTCGCTTGGCCTGCAATCTGCTGGTGAGTATGTGAGGTAGTGTGTGAGTGAGTGTGAGAATGTGAGGTAGTGTGTGAGTGAGTGTGAGAATGTGAGGTAGTGTGTGAGTGAGTGTGAGAATGTGAGGTAGTGTGTGAGTGAGTGTGAGAATGTGAGGTAGTGTGTGCATGCACTTTCCCTGTTGGAGGGTTACGCAGCACATGCATAACCCTTTTCTCCATCTCTCTTTTCCTTGGCCTGCATCTGCTGGTCAGAAAAAGGGGAAGCATGCTTACGCACGCTCTCTTTTGCACTTTAACTCTTTTCACCAATCCCATTTCCTCTCGTCCCCCCTCCCCTCCCCTCTTCTCCCTCTCCTTCTCTCCCCACTCCTCTCATCTCCTCCCCTCACCCCGCATTTCCCCTCTTTTCTCTACAGGAAAGATTCACCTCGTGAGTGGAGGTAGCCGTCCTCTCCTTCTCATCACCTCTATCTCACCCATTTCGTGTGTGTGTATGTGTGCCTTCTTTTTTCGTATTTCTTGAAGAGTATGTTTGTATATAGCCTATAACCCTTCTCCCTTTATCACTCTTTCTGCACCAGGCACACAGGAGCGACTCACTTCATTGGTACAGGGAGCCACCCGTCTCTCACACTTACTTAAGAGCCACTTAGCCGTGCTTCAGCAAGCAGCCAACCAGGGCTGTGGAGCTCCTAGGTTCTTCCTCGCGATGACAGATGGCGCGACGCTATTCGCCCGTAAGCTACAGGGCCATATAGCTGAGTTACAAGTGGCCGAGGCTGCTTGTATGGGGGATAAGGGGAGGGGGAGAGGGGGAGACGGAAGGGGGGGATGGAGCGGGAAATGGAGCGGAAAATTTGGGGCAGTTACGGCAGAGGAGGATCTCGCTCGGGCAGCTGGAGGAGCGTTCCGATTGGCTTCTGAGGCTGCCCGGCACGCCGGGCGGCTAGAATTGGAAGCTTCTTGGGAAGCACTGGGAATGGATGGCAGCAGCAAGGGGGGGGTGATTGGCAGTAGGGCCCCTCCCAAAGCCAGGCATCTGCTCTTTGAGAGACATGCAGCAATGAAGCCTTTGGCTCATGCCAAGAAGGTAGAGGCAGAGTGGATGTGGGGTGGGGGCGATGAGGATGAGGAGGAAGGGGATGAGGAGGAAGAGAAAGAGGTGGAGGAGGAGGGAGAGGGTAGGCGCAGCGAGAATGAGGAGGGTAGAGGAATTGGAAAAGGGGAAACTGGAAGGTTCAGTGGCAGAAGGATCGGCAGCAGGTTCGGCGGGAGCAAGTTTGGGGGAACCAGGAGAGTGAACGTGGAGTTGCTTATAGAGAGTGTGAATATGGCCGCAGAGCTGGCATACCACAGCCATAGAGTGCTGACCAAATGCGCGGGGGGTGTGGGTTCCGGCTGGGTTGGGGAGGTCACAGAAGCTGCTCTTTCCGCACAGATTATTGACGCAACTGGAGGCTTTGCGTCTGATTTGAATATGAGAGGAGGTGCTGGTGGGGTGAGGGTCTCTGCTACCAGTGGTGTGAGAGCATATGGGGATGTGGATATGAGTGCACCCATCCCTGTTCTCTCCGTGTTCACAGTCAAGCTGCAGACCCCTGCTGCTGCTGCTGCTGCTGCTGCTGCTGCTGCTGCTGCTGCTGCTGCTGCTGCTGCTGCTGCTGCTGCTGCTGCTGCTGCTGCTGCTGCTGCTGCTGCTGCTGCTGCTGCTGCTGCTGCTGCTGCTGCTGCTGCTGCTGCTGCTGCTGCTGCTGCTGCTGCTGCTGCTGCTGCTGCTGCTGCTGCTGACGGGGTACGGGGGACAGGAGGGGTACGGGGGACAGGAGACGGTGATGGTAAGGTGCTGCGAGCAAGTGAGCCAACAGCACATGAGGGGACTGCTGCTGTCGAGACTACTGTCGCTACCACCACCACTGCACCTGCTGCTGCTCCAGCTGCTGCGGCGGCTGCTTCTGATTGCTCTGCCTCTGTAGGTGCAGCTGCTGACTCGACTCAAAACACACCCGGAAAACGCTCTGCAGCAGACGGGGCTTCTATTGCCACCCCATCCCCCCTCCTCTCCTCCTCATCTCCCTATCTCCCTGGGAGCTCCAGCTGTCACTCCGCCATTCGTCCGTCGCCCCATGCTGACGTCATCCTCCCCATCCCTCTCTTTCTCTCGTCTTCTGAGGAGGATCGGAGCAGCTTCGGCACGGATCCAACCGTGGAGCAGGTTTGGTGTAGCCCCAGCCTTGGGCCGAGCCAAGATCAGCCTCAGATCAGCTCTGGATTTGACCTGGCTCGGGGGCAGGCTCGGAGCAGCCTTGAAAGTACAGGCAGTGGGACCGAGAGGGGTGGGAGGGAGGGGAGGAAAGGAAGGGAGAAGGAGAAGGGGAGGGAGAGGAGGCGGATGGAGTGGGTGACAGGAGGAGGGGGTAGAGCGGATACTGGTTCCGCATCTTTCACATCAGCTGCATCAGCAGCGTCAGCAGTTTCAGCAGTTTCAGGAGCAGCATCAGCAGGAGCATCATCAATGGAAGGTTCAGGTGGTGGGTCCCGGTTGAGAAGCGTTCAATCCGGTGGGAGTCAAGGAAAAGAGAGCATATGCAGCAGGAAGGGGGGTGGGGAGGAGGGAGCGAGAGAGGGAGGGGTGTCAGCAGTGGGAAAGGAAGAAGGAGGAGGAGAAGCAAAGGCAGCAGAGAAGCTGGTTCGTGGTGGTTCGGGAGCTGGAGGTTCGGTAGGACGAGGCTCGGGAGCAGGCTTGGGCGCAGGAGGTGGGAGTGACACGGGCAGCTTGAAACTTAGCCTTGGTTCCCTCCTGGGATCGCAGGGTTCGGGCAGCTTGAACGAAGCAATAAATCTTTTTTTGGAAGAACTGGAGGTTGGAGAGGGACGAGGGGGACGGGAGAAGAAGGGGAGGAGGGAGAGAAGGAAAGATGGGGAGGGTAGCAGGGAAGGGGGTGGGGGATTGGAAAGGGGGGTGGAGATGGGTGCTGGGGATGCAGATATACCTGCAGAGACAGATGCAGAGACAGAGACAGGAATTGAGACTGAAATAGAGACAGAGATTGAGAGTGATGCTTGGAGTCTGTCCAGTGGGGGTTGGGCTTCGTCCCTTGGAGTTGGGGTGGAGGGAGAGGAGGAGGTGAGGGGAGAGTTTGAGGGGAGGAAACGGGGGGTTGGGGATAGGAATGGGCAGAGAGAGGGGAAGGGGAAGAGGGAGGAGAGTGAGAGAGTGGTTGGTTCGGGTGGGGAGGTGGAGGGAGGGATGGGTGGGGGGGGCGAGGAGGAGGAGGATGAGGAGGAGGAGGATGAGGAGGAGGAGGATGAGGATGAGGAGTGGTATCAAGAGCTGCTGAAGAACATGCGAGATGTGGACTTAGGGTTTGGGAAAGTGGAGAGGGCATCTGAAAAAGAGGAGCGGGCATGTGAGAGGGAAGAGACGACCGTTGGGGAAGAAGAGGGCGCATTCGGGTTGTGTCAAAAGGGGGCTAGGGAAGCTCGGAAGGAGGAAGGAGGGGAAACGGAGGAGGGCAGGGAACAACAAGGGGCGGATGAGGTTCCTCTTTTCGGAAAGGAGGCAGGAGAGGGAAGAGAGGGAAGAGAGGAGGCACAGAGGGAGGAGAGTGGGAGGAGAGAGCCTAGCCCTCGCAGCACTGACAGTGACGCTGGCACCATAGCTTCGGAGGCTACCGATGCTGTGCCGGACCTGCCGTTCAGGCTCGGAAAGCGGTTCTACAACATTGATTCGATGCTGAATATGCGCGAACCTGCAAGTGCCTCGGGAATCGGTGGGATTGGGGCTGGTGGGAAGCTCTTTTCAGGGTATTTGGATAGGAAGGGTCGTGGAAGGACCCTCATTGATGGTGCAGTGGTGGGGGCGTCAGTTGGGGCAGCGGGGGCAGAGGGGGCAGCGGGGGCAGTGGGGGCAGGGGGGGCAGCGGGGGCAGAGGGGACAGCGGGGGCAGTGGGGGCAGGGGGGGCAGCGGGGGCAGAGGGGACAGCGGGGGCAGTGGGGGCAGGGGGGGCAGCGGGGTTAGTGGAGGCAGTGGGGGCAGGGGGGGTGGTGGTGGGGGCAGTGGGGACAGTGGATGTGGGGGAGAAGGTTTCAGGGAGGAGAGAAGGGGAAGGAGAAGGGAGTGAAAGTGAGGGGAGTGGGTGTGTCAGGAGTGACAGTGGCGACAAGAAGAGCGAAGTAATTTCAGCAGAGGGAGGAGGAGGAGGAGGCAGAGGGAAAGGGAATGAGTCACAGAGTGCTGATGCTGCGGCTGCAGCACATGCTGATAATGATTCTGCTGATGCTGCTGCTGATGCTGCTGCTGATGCTGCTAATGCTGCTGCTGATGCTGCTGCTGATGCTGGTGCTGATGCTGTTGCTGCTAATGCCGATGCTGCTACTGATGCTATTGCTACTAATGCTGATGCTGCTAGTCCTGGTGTTGGTGCTGATGTTGATGCCGCTGCTGCTGATGATACTGATGCCGACGCTGGTGATGATGCTGCTACTGATTCTTCTGCTGCGGTTGCTGCTAATGCTGATGTTGCTGTTGCTGGTGCTTCTGCTGTTGATCCTGATGCTGCTACTGCTGCTGCTGCTGCTGCTGCTGCTGCTGCTGCTGCTGCTTCTTCTGCTAATGCTGATATTGCTGATGCTGGTACTTCTGCTGCTGCTGCTGATCCTGCTACTGATGCTTCTGCTGCTGCTGCTACTGCTGCTACTGCTGCTGCTGCTGATGCTGATGTTGCTGATGCTGGTGCTTCTGCTGTTGATGCTGATGCGGCCGCTGCTGATGATCCTGATGCCGATGTTGATGCTGCATCTGTTGTCGCTGTGGCTGATAATGCTGCTATAGTCGATGGAGGTTTGTCTGGGGTGCATATGGAGGGGTGCAATAGTCAGTCAACACCGGCAGAAGAAGCAGCAGCGGTCGAAAGTGCAGCAGCATCACCAGCAGCAGCAGATGGTGACATTAACTTTCATGACAACAATGACGAGGGTGACAATAATGAGCGTGAGGGTGACGAGAATGAGGGTGGCATTAACTTTCGTGACAATAGTGAGCGTGACAGTGAGAAGGATGGCAGCATCGAGGGTGAGAGTAATGAAGGCGCGAATACGTTAGGTTTGGACCATTCAGACCTTCTGCAGTTCGACGAGGTATTCCGAGTCAAGCAGGCTCGGCGGCAGTGCCATGCCGAAGCTAAGGCTGCCGTGGCTGCAGCTTTGGACGCTCAAGATGATCTGGCAGACGCCGAGGCTGCACTGGAGGAAGCTTCCAAGGAAGTTGCACGGCTTACGGCATGTACTGACATTGAGAATAAAGACACAAGTCCAGAGGAGCTTGTAAAGGGGGAAGGGGTTGCTGGTAACCAGGCAGGGGTTGTGGTAACCATTGACGGGGAAGGTGAGAGAAGCAGTATGCGGAGCAAGGGTTGCAAAAACGAAGGGGAGGGGAATAAAGAGAGTGAGGGTGTGGAGGAGGGAGTGACAGAAGGAGGGAGTGGGGAGGAGGGAAATGCTGAGGGAGAGGAGGTGGGGGGAGTTGCAGCGAAAGCTGAAGAGGAGGGCAGTGGGGAGTCTATGGAGAATGTATCTCTTTTTTCTGCCTGTTCTTCTGCCCTGGCTTCCCTGGAACGAGCTCAGGTTGCCCGCAACGAAGCCGCTGCCCGAATGCGTTCCCAGCGGCGCCGGGCAGCTGCGAAAGTTTCGGAGCTGGAAGCTGCCCGGTCCTTGTACACCACGCTGCTTCGGGCAAAAGAAAAACGGGTAGCTGAAATAAATAGCGCTGCTTATGGGTTGATTGGAGAGATGAAGGCAGCAACTGGGTGTGTAACACCTGGTGTGGTAACCCCACGGAGGGGGTCTGCAGCTAGTAGCGACTTGTCTGATGTGCACCACTGCACAGATGGTCTGGAAGATGACTGTAACAAAGAGGGCTAATAACGGGAGCCAAGTGCATAGGGAGTGGGGGAGATGGAAGGCAGATTATCGTATGGAAATGCTCTAATAATTTTTCTTGTAATGCTTTTGAGATTACAGTTACAGTTCTGGGGGTCACTTTGTCTGTCACTGGCAAATTGGTAGCCGTTCAAGGGATTTGAAACTACAAAAAAAAAAAAAAAAAAGGCCTTGCTGAGTAACCAATGAATCATCCATTTCTATGTTAGAAAATGGAAACAGGAATGAATGAACTATGCAGGATGGGGATACAAGTAGTAAACCCTAAAAGGGTTGCCCCCTCTACAATGTGCCCCAGTATAGACTACAGCACTATAAGTGCATAAAATTGACACACACCCATAGGCTAAGTGAGGGACAACAAGCGGTCACAAGATTAGTCAAACAAGAGAACAAAGCAAAGCAAAACAAAGCTCAGGGTGGATCTCAAGATCACCACGCATTCTGAGCACAAGCAAGCGGCCACAAGGCCAGTTCACATGCAGAGTTTATAAAAGCAATTGCCGTACACTGATCACAACCTAGCAAGTGTAAACATGCAGGTATAATCATATATATCAGAGTACAACAAGTGCAAGGCAAGATCAAGAGACAAGCAGGTGAGGCAGAGTGGGCACAACCCCAAGAGCAGTGCAGAAACGCTGATGATCACTAGACCCAAGGGCCTTGGTGAAGACATCAGCAGTGTTGGCATGTGTGGCCACGTAAGCAAGACGAAGCTGACCACGCTACTACAGCTCTCGCGTGAGCAGGTAGGTCACCCAGCGGAGCTCCTGTGCAGCCATAGCCCCAGCGTAGATCTTTTGCCTCACAGCTGGAACGAAGTACAGAAGAAGAGCGAGTGGACCTCCACGAGACAAAACCAGTGCCGAGGCTCAAACAGTACCCCTGTGTCGACCGGTGAGTCGTCTGGTCGTCAACCCAAGAAGCGTCTGAGTGACCAGTGAAAACAATTGAACCCGTCCTCCAAGCACAAGCCCCATGCCCAATGTGCTGCACAAGTAACGCAATACCCTCTTCGCAACTTCCCAGTGCACCTTTCGGTGTCTACCGGGAGCCACGTAGCGAGCCAGGAGGCTGAGAGGGTACGCAAGGTCAGATCGTGTGCACGTCATCAGGTACATGAGGCAACCCACAAGCTCTGGGTACGGACCACTCGGCTCTACGGACTCGTCAGAAGGTGGAGCTGAGAGCGAGTGGCCAGTAGACAGAGGAGTGGGCTGTGGCGAGGACCACAAGAAGTCGAAGCGCTAAAAGACCTGCTGCACCATGTGTGACTGGATGAGGGTGATGGTGCGGCGTGCTCTGTCTCGGGTGATATGCAAGCCAAGATAGCCCCGCAGCTCACCCAGGTCAGTGCAGGTGTGTCTCTCCTGCAGCTCTGCCTTCACTATTCCATAGCCTCAGTGTCAGCAGTAGCAAAAACCAAGTCGTCAACGTACACGAGAACGTAGAACGGCGGCAGAGAAGTGTCTGTGCGCAGAAACAACGAAGGGTCAGCAGTCGAGGGAGCGAAGCCAAGAGCTGCAAGTATAGTCCTTAGTGAGTCATGCCACTCACGGGGCGCCTGTCGTAGGCCATATACTGATCGTCGAAGACTCCACTGGGTTCCCTCAGGAAACGACCCAGTGAAGCCACGAGGGCGGCGCAACCAGATAGCCTTGTGAAGGCTGCCCTGCAGGAAGGCTGCCGAGAAGGCTACCGTAACGCGCCCTGAAGGCAGGCGGAGAACCCAGCGGCCGCTTCACCCTGAAAATCCACATGCCATCGACTATGTTCGCCCCAGGTGGGGGAACCTCGTCAACGTAGGTGCCTGTGGACTTCCAGGAAGCCATCTCTACGTCCATGGCTGTCTGCCACTGAGAGGAGTACGGACCCGTGATCGCCTCTGCGTAAGTGCGCTGGGTCGAGATGTCCAATGCATCCGGGTCTCCCTTAGGGCAAAGTAGCGTGGACGCGAGATGAGGTGCAGCGGCCGCTATGCATTCTAACTCAAACTGACTGTCCTCAAGGACGTCACAGCCAAGGGCAAGCTCACCCCCGACGGACGGAGGACAGGAAGAGTAAAAAACAAGACTCGCAGCGTAGTCAAGGCGGCACAAAGCGGCAAAGTCAACTAGCTCAGCAACTAAGGCAGACGCAGCAGCAGACTCAAAGGAAGGGTCACTCACAACCGTGGCAAGGAGACGAGTGACAGTCGGACTGGCAGTACGGACAAGGTCTGACTCAGGGTCAGGAACGTGAGGAAGAGAAGACGCAGGAGGAGACGGCAGGACAATACGCTGTGGAACGGAGGAAGGACGAAGTGCCATTCGGTGAGTGCCTGGCACAGCTGAAGCACGAGGACGGACAATACGTCAACCGCGAGCAGGTGTGGAAGCATGAGTCTCAGGCTCACGACGCTCAGAGCAAAACTCAGTCACCTCCGTGTGGGGAGCAGGAGCAGGCAGTGGGGAGCTAGGCAGTAGCTGTGGCTGAGATTGGTCAGTCGGTGGGAACAGCAACGGAGGAGTAGTACCAGCAACCGGGAACTCAGTAGCAGCAGGCGGGAGACTGAGAAGGTGACGAAGCGCAGACTTCTGCGGCTGATTAGTCATACCCCCAGAACCACAAGTCCCAGTAGGAACAGCACCCCCAGAACCAGCACCACCAACTCCACCACCGGGACTGCCCCAACGGACAGCCCACGCGCGAAGCTGCTGCGGCGAGAGCGACTCCTGCCGACTAGCACCACCAACTCCAGTACCTCCAGTAGCACCTCCAGTGTCAGCACCGCCAGTACCCCCGACGCGTGGAACAACAGCACTAGCACCTACAGGGCCAGCACCTCCAGTACCTCCAGTAGCACCTGTGCCTCCAGTACCAATACCTCCAGCATGGCCAACTCCAAAAACACCAGCACTAGCACCACCAGGGCCAGCACCTCCAGAACCTGCAGCTCCAGCACGTCCAGTGCCACCACCAGGACTGCCCCAATGGACAGCCCACTTGCGAAGCCGCTCCGACGAGAGGGTCTCCTGCCGACGTGCACCAGCACCACCAGCACCTCCACCCGCAGAACCTCCAGCAGCAGCACCTCCAGCACCCCCTGCACCCGTAGGACCCGCAGCACCCCCAGAGCCAGCACCCCCAGAGTCCGCACCCCCAGTGTCACCACCTCCAGAAGCACCAGAGTCCACAGCGACGGGCCGCAGAGGCGGTGAAGACGGTCGAGGCGGAAAGCTAGGAGGGACCGCCAAGCGCGCGGAGCGGCGAGGGGCCACGGTGTCGGTAGCAGTCTGGTCACCCCCTTCAGCTAGGCCAGAGGTGTCTGAGGAGACCTCCAAAGGCTCAGCCAAGAGGGGTGGGTCTACCTGAGACACACCTGAGGGAGCGGGACTGGGAGGAGGGAGGGGGGCTATCGGGGGGGGGGGGGGGTCGTCCACCAGGGAGAGAGGCGGGAGGGGTACCGGGGAACTGCGGTGGGGGTGAAGACGGTAGAAGCAGACGGACTCGTCAAAGATGACGTTGCGGGAGGACAGCACACGACGAGAGCCCGGGTGGTAAAACTGCCAGGGCGGTGCGTCGGTGGGGAAGCCAAGGAACACGCACCGAAGAGTGCGTGGAGAGAGCTTGCCCGCAGGCAAATCGTGGACAAGAGAGAGGAAACCCCAGACCCGAAACGCCGACGCATCACCAACCTCGCCTGTCCACCGCAAAGTGGGGGAGGTCTCCGGGTGGGAGACACGGGGCCAGAGGTTGAGCTGCTCAGCGGCGTATCGGACCGCAAACGGCCAAAGAAAATGGGGAGCAGCCGCATGGATCATGGAGGTGCCAGCAATGACTAGACCAATGCGGCGCTCGGCACACCAATTCTGCTGTGGAGAGGCCGGAAGCGTGTACAAGTGGACGATGCCCTCAACACCACAGAACTCACCACCCCAGCCAGAGTGCAGCCGCAGGACTGGGAGGTCCTCACGGAACTGAGCGCGAAGCTGGAGACGGACAGCGCGGATCCAGCGGATCAAGACATCGCGGACATTCGCCTTGCTCTCTGCAAGGGGAAGACCGTGGTGTAGCGCGCGTAGTCGTCGACAACCAGTAGAAAGTAGCGCTCGCCACCCTGTCCAGTGACGCGGGCGGGGCCCCACACGTCCATGTGCAGGGTCTGCAGAGGAGCAGTGGTAGGAGGAAACGAGGAGGAGTGAGGAGTGGCGCGCTGCCGCCCCTCGACGCAGGGAAGGCAGGGCGGTGCAAGTGACCTCGAAAGCGGGGGTAAGGACCTGGGGAGACCTAACACAAGGAGACGGGAGTGCATGCCACGCAGGTGTGGCAAGGAGGGGTGGCCAAGACGGAGGTGCCAGAGGAGAGTTTGGTGCGTGAGGAGACGACACGAACAAGACGCAGCGACCTCAACCGACGCAGCTACCTGACCTGACTCAGCTATCAGTGCAGACTCAGTGGTTAGTGTGTACAGGCCAGACCCAGGCATCCGAGTGAACGTGGCCAGGTGCTCACAAGTGCACGAGTCCGTGCAGATCGCCACTAGCTCGCCTTCAGGCTGGGTGACAGTGACCCACTGGTCCTGGAGGACAGAGGTAGCCACCAAGTTCTTAGCGAATGAGGGGAGGTGGAGACTTGTGAGGAGGCCAGAAGGGGCCGCCGGACAGGGGAGAACAGTAGTGCCACGTGCGACTACCAGGCCCCCAGAGCGATCGGCCAGTGTGACAAGGACAGGGGCTGTGAGCGGTGTGACTGTGGTGCTGTCGCGGAAGAAGCAGCGAGAAGGGCCTGAGTCTAGGGTAAAAGTGTGCAAGGCCTCCTCAGGCTCTGCCCCTACGCTAGCTGAGTCACACGCACTGAGACTAGTAGCCTTGACGCCACCAGGTGCCTCTACACTCCCAGTACGAGTACCCCGAAACCCTCCGCCACCGGGGCTGCCCCACCGGACAGCCCACTCACGAAGTTGCTGCGGGGAGAGAGTCTCTAGCGGACGCTGCTGC